TATATATTCATTATTACCCTACAGGTTCTTTCTTTATATATATTATGGCTTCCAGTTTAATGTTTTAATGGGATTTCTGATGTGTGTATGAGTGTGTCTCTCTTTATTGTGCCTTTTCCTGGGCCCTTATCCTTTTGTTTGCTTAGTTTTTCAATTGCAAAGTGTTAGTTTTTGTTTTTTATTCTTTTCTTTTTTTATTATAGATGTATGATTTTTTTTAAATTGAGAGATACAAAGGAGATGGGAGGTGAGGAAATAAGAAACTATGGGGAGTGGAGGGAGGAAATTATAATCAGGATAGAGCATGTGAGAAAAAATATTTTCAATAAAAAGTATACATAAAAAGCTTCAATATCATACAGGCAAAAGTTGCGAGCATGGGAGAGGATGGTAGAGGGAAGGGGAGAGGTGGAGAGAGAGGTGAGAAGGGGAGGGTTGGGGAGCGCTTGGGGGAGTGGATTGGTTGAGATGGAGGATGGATTTGGGAGCAGAGCAGGAGATATCTTAATTGAGGGAGCCATTTTGGGGTTGGCAAGAGGCTTGGCTCTGGAGGGGTTCTGAGGAGTCCACAGGGATGACCCCAGCTAGGACCCTGGACAGTGGAAGAGACAGTACCTGAACTGGCCTTGTCCCATAGTCAGACTGATGACTACCTTGAATATCACCATAGAACCTTCATCCAACGACGGATGGAAAGAGAGACAGAGATCCACATGGGAGTACTGGACTGAGCTCCCAAGGTCCAGTTGAAGAGCAGGAGGAGGGAGAATATGAGCAAGGAAGTCAGGACCATGAGAGGTTTGTTCACCCACTAGGACAGACTGAGGGACCAATCAACAAATAGAAATATAAGATACATAGAGTGTGTATTTTCAGACTATGCTACTATTCAAGTGTAATAACTCAGAGACCTAAGTCACCACACAGCAAGGAACTGTACCAGGGAATGCGGCAGTCATGTGTATGCTTGGAAAATTTCTAAGTTGTCACATGCAGTAAACTCCACTGTGGCAGGAGTTCTACAAAAAACTGCTTAGCTAAAGGCAAGCCAAGGTGGTAGGGTTGGGAGACTGTCTGGGCCATGGACCGGCTAGGCCATTAGGCCATCCACCTGATAGGCATGATTACGGGAACCAGGCAGGACAGAAATTCAGACAACAGAATGGTGCCCGTGTTCACAACTGCATCTACATAAAGCCTGAGAGAGCTTGAGGAGTATTTTTAGACAGAAAAGAATAGAGTTTAGCACCACTTATTGATAGCAGCATTTTTTTCAGGTGGGCTTTGTTTGTTAGAGGCAAATGTGTCTCATTTAAGAGAGGCTTCCTGACTCAGCTTTAGCTGCAAAACCTTGCAGCTCTTTTAAGAAATCCTGCCACTAAACACTTAAATGGTATTGATGAAAAGCTGGCTGCATGCTTTTTGGTTTTCAGCCATAACAGGAAAAAAGCCATGCTACTTTAAAATGCCAGCTTTCTAGGCCATCCTGCCAATGCAAGCTCTGACTCTTTTAGGCAGGAGGTCTGGTTACAGAGCATTTGAGTGTGGTTTGTGAGCAGACTGATGCAATTTACTGCTGGCAGGGACCTTGAAACACTGCAGAGTTGTGGCAATAAACATGGCTATACCTGGTACCTCTGCCATGAGGCTGTAATCTCATAAAGCTAAGGAATGGGGTAGATCCAGCCATCAAATCCACAGCTTTAATCCTCTCCATATTGCTTTGCAAATTAAAGCCTCATGTGGTCAGAAAAAGAGAGATATACAGTAAAGATAGAGTCAAAGGAAAAGAAAACCTCTAAATGGTTTACAGTATGTTTAAAAATATATACAAGCTTGGGAGAGAAATGAAAAAGGTTAAAGTCCTTAAAATAAAAAAGAAAGAGAATATTTGGGTGTGGTTGCACATATCTTTGATCCCAACACTTGGGTGACAGAGGCAGACAGATCTCTGTGAGTTCAAGATGTGTTGGCACATATCTTTAATCCCAGCACTTGTGAGGCAAAGGCAGGCAGATCTCTGTGAGTTCAAGAACAGCCTGGTCTACAGAGTGAGTTCCAGGACAATGATATACAGAAACCCTGTCTCAAAATGCTAAAAACTTAAAAATAAAAGAAATAGAGTTTAAAATAAAGCCTTGTAAATATGGAAAACACACAGAAAATCTGTATACTGTATGTTATTATGTTCTCTTTGAATTGTTTGAATGCTGAGGAAGGAGCAACAGCTGCTAA